TCCCAAGTTGCGCGCCCTCTCTGAGGGGGCCAAAGATTCGCCCCCTATAGTCAGCGATGGCGTCAGCTGACCATACCGAGACGCCGGCAACCACAGCCACTCGGTCTTGGAAGGGTTGAGCCTGAGTCTGTTCCTCCCCATCCAGACCCGTACGGCCTCCAGGCAGCGGGCCATCACGTCAAGGGCATCGTTGGGGTGGTATGAAGTCCCATTCTCCTTCATATCTATAAATGGATTACTAGTTGTACCCACAATTCTTACTTAAAAGCCTAAAATAATACTGAGAAATATTTGTGAAAAGCATAAGAGCTTCAGTAGAGCAAAGATGCCTTGAAGGAAAATAATGCAAAGTAAGCAGAATAACTTTGTAAAAAAAAGTATGGTTGATGTTTTTGCTTTTTAACTGTGTTACATCTAATATTTATTTATTTTATTTATATATCTATACTTATAGTGCAAATGTATTGGGATTTTCATCAAAAAATGAGTAAATGATGATGTGGTCAGAGGGAGCTCAAGGTCTTACATGAACTGGGTTCAAAGATCATAAATTGCCCAGCTCTGAAATTTAATTTTGATTTCTGTTCAATGGTTTCCAAAGTAGATTGGCTGATATTTTTTTTCAGAACATTTCTAAAATTTATACCGCAGCCATGACAACTCCAATGATGCTCACATGAACATATTCAATAAAATAATTGTATGTACAGTATCCAAAGTGAATCCAAAAGAGATGTTTGCCTGTCATATGGACAAAGAAGCCAATAAGAAGTCTTTGAGCTGGGCACACATATTGTTCTTCTATTTGTTCATATCTTTTTGGAGCATTTGAGATATGCAAAAGTTCAAGTCCATGTTAGATGTAAAAGTATAGCTCCAAAGTACAATAGTCCAAATTAATGCAAAAATAATGTGAAATTGTGCCAAGCTTGTGTCAAGCATCCTTCCCAATCAATACTGTCCATAGATTTGTCATTTGCAAATGTAATTCTGTAATATCAGCAGACCGCTGAAAAAAATGTCAATACTCATAAACCACTCATTATGTTTCACTTGGTCTACTTTGTAGACATCTAAATTATGTTTCACTTGGTCTACTTTGTAATCACCTAAATCTTTGCATACCAAATTTGAATATTGGAAAATGTTTTATTTCAAAAATCTCTTAAAATTTTATATATTTATTTATTCTTTTTTTTCACAGACATAAACCACGTGACTCTGAGCTGCTTACAATTCTAAAATTACAAAACAATGAAAAAACATTTAAACCCTAAAAGCACCCATAAAATAAATAAGTACAAATAGTAGCTGTGATGATCATCAACTAAAAATAAAGACAAATACAGGTAGTCCATGACTTACGACCACAATTGAGCCCAAAATTTCTGTTGCTAAGTGAGACATTTGTTAAGTGAGTGTTGCCCCATTTTATGACTTTTAATTCCACAATGGTTGAATGAAATACTGCAGTTGTTAAGTTAGTAACATGGTTGTTAAGTGAATCTGGCTTCCCCACTGACTTTGCTTTCAGAAGGTCACAAAAAAAAGAGAACACATCAACTCAGGACACTGCAACAGTCATAAATGAGTCAGTTGCCAAGTATCTGAATTTTGATCATGTGACCAAAGGGATGCTGCAAAGATCAAAACTGTGAAAAACAGTCATAAATCACTTTTTTAAAATGCTGTTGTAAATTTGAAAGGTCACTAAATGAATTGTTGTAAGTCGAGGACTACCTTACATAGCCAAGTTTTTAAAGCTTTGTGAAAAGCCAATAGGGTCATTCTATTCAAATATTCTAAGTGAATAACCTAAAGGTTTAATCAGTGGTGGGATACAGCTGGTTCACACTGGTTCGGCAGAACCAGTAGCTAATTTTTTGTTGACTTTGGCGAACCGGCTGAAGCCTTAGTCCTTTTTTGCAAGGCCCAGATCGGACCACCGGAAGTGTGTGAATGCCACTTCTGGAAATCTGTTCTGAGCCTCAAAGACCTGGGGAGGGCTCCCAGGCCCAGAACAACTCATCAGAAGTGCATGGATGCCACTTCGGTTCTGAGCCTCGGAGGCCTGGAAGAGGCCTCCCAAGCCCAGAATGGCCCACCGGAAGTGCATGGACGCCACTTCCGGAAGTCCATTCTGAGCCTTGGAGGTCCAGACCCAGAATAGATTTTCTGGAAGCGGTGTCCACACACAAAACCGGTTGTTTAGGTATTTGAATCCCACCACTGGGTTTAATCCAACTAGCACAATTATTTGGCTCCAATATTAAAGTCCCTCTTGAGGAATTCTACACTTAAATTGGCAGCAAAAATTCTTGCACTGGATCATGTTCAGTTGCTCTCAAATGTTTCCATATAGTTTTTCCCGTTCAGCTTCTTATATTTAACTGGCATTTGCTTTGGATATTATCCTGTTTATATAAAGTGTATACAGCACAGATAGTCCTCGACTTACAACCACAATTAAGCCCACAATTTCTGTTGCTAAGCGAGACATTTGTTAAGTGAATGTTGTCCCATTTTATGATCTTTCTTGCCACAGTTAAGTGAATCACTGGAGTTAAATTAGTAACACGATTGTTAAGTGAATCTAATTTCCCCATTGACTTTGCTTGACAGAAGGTTGCAAACGGGGATCACATGACCCCAGGACACTGCAACCATCATATACATGAACTGGTTGCCAAGCATCTGAATTTTGATCACGTGACCATGGGGATGCTGCAAAGGTCATAAGTGTGAAAAAGTCACTTTTTTCAGTACTGTTGTAACTTTGAACGGTCACTAAAATGAACTGTTGTAAGTTGAGGACTGCCTGTGTAGGGCTGTGCTTAATACTCAAAGAAATCCCCACACCACGTTTTTGTGCTTCTGCCTATTCCCCCTTCCCATCTCCCAAGATTATTCAAATAGAGAATGCGTGTGGACAAAAATGTATTTTTAAAGGGAGAAAATCCTATATGTCAGTGGTGAGTAAAATGTAAATCCACAGGAATACTTTTTGAACTAGAAGACCTCCAAGGTCGCTTCCAACTGTTATTCTGAAAGAAATGATACCTAACAATTAGACACGAATGACCTTCGACTACAGCTGACAAGCACCAGCACTGACTGATGCTGTATCTTTCATTTCCATTTCAGCAATATACGCAATACAGGTAGTCCTCGATTTACGACCACAACTGAGCCCAAAATTTCCGTTGCTAAGCAAAATATTTGTGAAGTGAACTTTGCTCCATTTTATGACCTCTCTTGCCATAGTTGTTAAGTGAATCATTGCAGTTGTTAAGTTAGCAACATCGTTGTTAAGTGAATCTGGCTTCCCTATTGACCTTGCTTGTTGGAAAGTCGCAAAAAAATTATGCAATTGTCATAAAAGTGAACCAGTTACCAAGCATCTGAATTTTGATCACATGACCATGGGGATGCTATAATGGTCATTAAGTGTGAAACACATAAGTCACTTTTTTTCAGTGCCGTTATAACTTTGAATGGTTAGTAAATGAACTGTTGTTAAGTTGAGGACTACCTGTATATACTCTGGGGTAGGGAGAAATCATTTTGTTGCCATTACCTCCGTGCAGCCAGAATTCTTAAAAAGTAGCTGATTTATAGAAATAAATTGCAATCAACTTCCTCCCCTCCCCTAAGCTACATTGTGGTCGTAGGTCGAGGACTACCTGTGATGTATACACTTTATATAAACAGGACAATATCCAAAGCAAATGCCAGTTAAATATAAGAAGCTGAAGAGAAAAAACTACACGGAACATTTGAGAGCAACTGAACATGATGCAATGCAAGAATTTTTGCTGCCCATTTTAAGTGTAGAATTCCTCAAGAGACACTTTAATAGAATAGAACAGAACAGAATAGAAGCCGGAAGGGACCTTGGAGGCCTTCTAGTCTAGCCCCCTGCTCAAGCAGGAGAACTATACCATTTTCAGACAAGTGACTGCCTCTTGTTAAAAGCCTCCAGTGATGAAGCGCACACGATTTCTGGAGGCAAGCTGTTCCACTGGTTAATTGTCCTCACTTGTTAGAAAGTTTCTCCTTAATTCCACGTTGCTTTTCTCTTTGGTCAGTTTCCAACCATTATTTCTCATCTTTCCCCCTGGTGCTTTGGAGAATAGTTTGACACACTCTTCTTGGTGGCAGCCCCTCAAATACTGGAACACTGCTATCATGTCATCCCTATTTCTTCTTTTATTTAGATTAGCCAAACCCCCAAAAAGAAGAAACAAGGGTGACAAGAAAGCACTTTAAATATTGGAGCCAAATAATTGTGCTAGCTAGTTGGATTAAACCTTTAGGTTATTCACTTAGAATATTCAAATAGAACCGTGTTTCTCAACCTTGACAATTTTAAGGCATGTGAACTTCAACTCCCAGAATTCCACAGCCAGCATTGCTGGCTGTGGAATTCTGGGAGTTGAAGTCCACATGCCTTAAAATTGTCAAGGTTGAGAAACACTGAAATAGAATGATCCTATTTGGCTTTTCGCAAAGCTTTAAAAACTTGGGACTATGTAAGGTAGTCCTCGACTTACAACAATTCGTTTAGTGACCATTCGAAGTTACAACAGCGCTAAAAAAAAAGTGCAGGATGACTGTTTTTCACACTTTTGATCTCTAGGGAACCATTCAAAACAAGACGCAACTCCCGCCTCCCACAACCGGCTTATAATAGCAGCAGAGCAACCAATACCAAAAACTGCAGCCGCCCCCACCACTCCCCAACGCCAGGCTACAACTCGGCGGTCCACGCGGGAAGCTTAAAGTCACGAGATTTGTTTCTCCACCCTCCATGGCAGTGTTTCTCAACCTTGACAATTTTAAGGCATGTGGACTTCAACTCCCAGCATTCCGCAGCCAGCATTGCTGGCTGTGGAATGCTGGGAGTTGAAGTCCACATGCCTTAAAATTGTCAAGGTTGAGAAACATTGCTCCATGGGAATCGCCCCTCGTTTCCGCCTGAAAACCTCGGGCCCCGCCGCTCGCGAATGGAAACTCGTACAACCGCCCTGTGGCAAAGGAAGAGGTCGGAGAAAATGGGAAAGGAGGCGAGGGCCTACCTCCGCAGCGACATCTTCCGCTGAAGGCTCTCGACCGCCCCGCACGGAACGGCTCCCGCCGCGCTCGCCATGCTCGGCGCCGCGCTTGCTGCAGCCTAGACTGGCGCGTCAGCTCGTGAGAGCGCGGGACAGCGCCTCCTAGTGACCGTGCGGAGAGAAGCAGCGGAAACAAGTCCCTAGAGGGCGCCGCACGAGCTGGGGCGGGCTGAGAGGCTTGGAAATGAGGGTGGAGGGATAGTTCCCGGCAGACCCGGGCAGGAAAATGATGATGATGATGCTGGAGGAGTTCCTCTTTTCTTGCTAAGGAATCGGGCAAAAGTGGTGCTGGTGCAATTGGCCATAGGCATAACAGACTGCAATGAGGAGTAAATGGTATTGGTAACTGGGCGTTTTAGGTGTTTGGCATTATTGCTTTGTGCACCCTCGCTGAAATGGGGCCATTCCCTGTGCTAGATGCTAATACTAGACTAGTATTACTAGTATTTCATTTTTAATGGAATTGTGGCTCCAAACACAAGCTTCTGTGGCTTTGCAGTATCTGGTTCAAGGTTTCTTGAGGTCTGCAGTATAGATTTTGTACAACATAGGAGACAACATAGCTTGTCTTGTATTCTGGGCATAGTAATTTAACAAAGGAGTGACAATTTATGAGATTATTACATACAGTAAATACATGCCACTTTAGTGTAGTGGGGAAGGTGCTGTGTTAGAAACTTGTGAGTTATAATGCCGCCATAGGTCTGAAAGGCGGTGGTGACCTTGGGCCAGTCTTTTTCAGCCCAACTCACCTAACACAGTTATGTAGGGAAAGGAGTATTAGGTATGTTTGGCCCCTTGAGTTACTTATAATAATAAAGGTGGGATATATATATATATAAATAAATAAATAATAAAGGTGGGATATAAATAAATACACAAATAAATGAATAAAGGGACTTGGAACAAAGGAAGACATGATAAGCCTACAAACAGTTGCATTTCTTTCTGAGCAAATGTTTTATGATTGGATTTGTAATTTGCAGAAATGCAATGCTTACTATTAACAATTAGCCACAAGTAAAAACAATTGTGCATATTCTGCATTTTGAATAAAGAGAAGATAGTTTTTGTGTTTTAAATCTGTTCTAGGCCTCACACTTTTAAAGCAGCAGGCCTTTGTTATAATTTGGAACTATTGTTTGTAGGAGGGCTACTTATGTCAGTTAATGACTTAAGATAGAGGTGTCAAACTGCCGACCCGCGCGCCGGATGCGTCATGCCAAAACGTGCCCACCCCATTGCCGGCAATGGCAAAAAAGCTCTGATACGTTGCGCGACGTCACGTGACATCGCGAGTTTGACATGTCTGAGTTAAACTATACAGATGGTCCTTAGTTACAGACTGTAATTGGGACTGGCAACTCTGCCACTAAGTGGCACGGTGGTAAAGTAAAACGTCATGAGACTGTACTAGACTTACAACATCAGTTCTAACTGGTGATGAAGAGAATCATTGCAGGTTATGACTGCAACTTGTGACTTCCTGCTGGCTTTCCCATTGTTTGTGGGAAGCTAGCTGTGATCACAAATGGTGATTGCGTGACTATGAGATGCTATGACCATAGTAAATGTGAGCCGGTTGCCAAGTGCTCAAATCATGATCATGTGACGGGAACACTGCAAGCGACACAACTTCAAATAATGGTCTAAACTTTAAAGTCTGCTTTTTCAGTGCCCTTGTTACTTCGCAATCAATGAGTGGTTGGTGAGGACCACCTTTAAGTCAGTCCTGGATCACCCTCTCTGCACAGGGTGGTAGGAAGGACCATGTTCCAGAGACACTTTTATTAATTCTCTGCAGCTGACTTCAGCTGTTCCTGTTGTGGCAGTGCAAAGGAAGGACAGAGTTGGAGGAGAGGATTACTTTTATTGGTTCGTTCTATTGAACCCACACATAATTTCTTTTTGCAATAAATATATATAAGTGGTCAGAAATCACTAAGGTGTTAATGATATTGGTTAAGGAAAGGCAAATTAATGGCAAATCACTATTTACTGAATTTCTGGACTTCTCTTATCCCAGATAATTTAAATGGTGGATGGGTGTTAAAGAAAGTATTTTGAAAGTATGATGCTCCTTATAATTTTTATATACAAAAAGTCCTTGGCAAAGCTCTGGAATGAAAAATAAAATAACTACAGCATTTTCTCCTTGACCGCACTGAAAGCTGCTTGAAATATTGTCCTAGATAAGAATTATTTTGGGGAAAAACCTCAGCCACAGACCTAATTATTCCTTGAGATGGGAGACCTCCAGGGAGTACACTGAGAAACTGGAAAAAAAATTTGGCAACAGTAATAACAAACTATATTTGTATGACAGAGCCCAGGGTGCATTCTGTTTGCTTGCAGAAGTTTCATTACCAGATTAGATACTAGTGCTAGTGAATGTGGGGCTTACTCCGTTTATATACAGTATAAACAGTACACCCTGCCAATGTTGGTGGGTGTGGTATATTGTTGCCAGAAAAACAGTATGTCTGTAGCCATGAAGTCAATAATCAAACTCAACAGGAAGAATAACTAACAGAGTTGGAAGGGACCTTGGAGGTCTTCTAGTCCAACTCCCCCCCCCCCCGCTCAAGCAAGAAACCACACCATCACCACCACCACCATCATCATTACTGTTTGGTGTTTCAGAATGGCCTAATGCCAGTTACGGTTTCAGAGCAACATGTGAACATGTGAAATAATGTCATTCACCAACTGATGAACCATTACATCCAAGGATGTAAAGTTCTTGGTATAGCTGCAGAACGATTATTTTCAGATTCGGATACCTATGAAGTAATATGACTCGGTTCCATCTTATCTCTTAACTTTAAACATGGTAATAACAAAACAAGCATTTCTGAGTATTTAGAAGATAAGATTTTTTTCTGCAACAAGAAACTTAACAATTATTAAAAATAACTTATATTTTACAAATCACCAAAATCTTATGATAAATGAAAACTAAGAACATACTTGGCTAGTAAGAGGTAAAAAAGGGTTACTCTATAAAAGTTTGATATTTAAAAGTATAACGAATGTTAACTTTTTGATTCCGTATCATCCATATATAGCAGGACTAATCAACTGGTGCTGTTTCCCTGCAACTAGTCCCTATGGATCCAATAAGGATAGAGCAGTTGCTCTAGATTTGCAAGCGTTCAGGCTGCATATAGTAAGAGTGAATTCATGGGTAAAAATGATGTCTGAAAAACTAGTATATTAGAAAAAACTGGTGTAAAGATGTGTTTCCTTTCTGTGGTCAAAAATATGTTTTAAACCTTTATCTTTCTCACTACTTAAAGTTATATATTCTAGATTTTATTCTGCTGGCCATTACTATTTAGTGAGTTGTTTCAGATTCAAGCTGCAAATAAACTTATTTAAATGGTAGTGACATACTAAATTAATCTATCCCACCCCAAGCCATCCCATCTAAAAGGAAGCAAAATTGTCAGGGAAGTATTAAAGTATCTGATATTCATTTAAACATTGTTATAAAGCATTTGTGAGAAATTAATAAACTTATGAAGATAAACTATTTTGGCACAAAAGCACATTTTCAAAGTGACTTCTTTAAGAGTATAATTTAATAGCCATTTAAATATATGCTGTATTAAGATTTTCAACAGTTACAAAATATTTACACAAGATATAATTATAGATTGCCCTGGAAAGTTAACATCTTTAAAATCATTGTATGTAGTCATTCTACAAGTACAAAATTCTGTTCTTGTTATAAGCACCAGATAGGTCTGTCCCATCCATTTCATGTTACAGACAGAAATATTTTCAAAACAAGATTTTCACATAAATAATGTTTTCAGTTATCATGAAAAATGTGACCAAATATTTTTAAGACACAATTTTACAATGAAAAGTTGCTTTGATGTAACCAGCACATACAGCCTAAAAAAAGCAAAGGAAAAAAAATAACACTTTATGTTATATATGGAGCGCCAGGCCACACAAACAGGAAACACAAAAGAGGTAGTGGATCATCTGTGAAGATGTTTGTATCCGAAAAGGACCATCATACAACTAAAGTGTTTAAGGGATTTTTATGGCGGCGTATAACTCATTGTCAGTATAACATAAGCTATTGCACATTTGGGAGCATAAACCATCCTGCTCCTTTTTACTGCATTCTTCCATCTTTTAAGGTGTCCGGGGCAGTGCTGTTAATAAAATCAAGAAGAATTTCCATATATGTATATTCTTTGGTTCAGAGAATATCATAAAAAGCACCAACCCAAAATTAAATATTTTATTAATATTGTCAAAAGTTTCTTTCTGAAGCCATTTCTCCTTCATAGGAGGAAGTCTTTTTCTTCCTGAGATTCTTTAAGAAATCACCAGCATGTTGCTGTACAATTCTTCCACAGTTTTATAATTATTTCTTGTGTCCTGCATATGGCGTTAGGAGGAGGTTTATTCAAAATCCTAGAGAAAGCACACAAAGCCACTTTCTATGTATCGCTGTTGTCCTTGCTTGAGATGAGAAAATGGATGAACCTGAAGAACCGGTAGTTGATTGGTGTCTTGAGTGTGGAAAAAAAATTGAGTTTTATGCCAGTTGCCATCTTGAATCTGCAATGAAAGAAAGCTAATGAAAACTTAAAATCATGCAATATTTTAATTCTGTATTATCTTTACAGAGAAAATCAAGAAAGAAGCAATAGCAAAAGAAGCAAGGATATGGAGATGTTCCATGCACAATTATGTGCATAAGCAACTATTTTGGAGAGGGTGTTTTAACAAAATATCTATTTTAGATGTTTTGATCTCATCTGAAAATAAGACTTTTCATTTAGTTACAAACTAAAAAGTGGTTGTTCCAGGAAAAAAATGGATGAGGGAAAATAATTGGACAAAGACAAGGACATAACAGAGGCAGGGAAGTGCATGATATAGGAAAGCTAGTAGAATACTCTGTTTAAGGACATCAGCAGCAATCATGGCTGAAAGAAAAGAAGGAAGTGAAGGCAGCAGGACTGGAGGAATATGGAAATGCTGAAGGGAGAGTATGAGATACTTGCCTTTCTTGATCTACCATATAGGAATTG